GTTCAAGTGAACCCAGCAGTCTGCCTGGCTTGACATGTGAAACATAACACCTGCTTATGCCAGGACCTGTATTAGTATGCAGAGAAGAAGAGCCTCAAACCCAAGCACATGCCTCATGTCCTTGTGTTCCTTCTTCCATGACGCACCAGCAAAGATGAACTCCGAGCCGGCCTTGCATGGTTTGACGTGTTGTAATTTCTTCTGCGATTTCTCCTGTGATTTTCTTTTGCAGCCCCAGTGCACTGTGGTCATGTTTCCTAGTGAATTTCATTTCAAGCACATTGTTGTTCCCTGAAGAGGAGCTGACAGCTGTGCTCAGAACCCTTGTTATAGTCCCAGTTAGCAGGCAAGTCCATGGAGAAAATTCAGGGAGAGCTTTTAATTGAATGCAAAACAAAAGCGATGCAAACTTCTATTATATATTGCTGTTTTTAACGTCAATAAACTTTCCATGTAGTTTACAAGGAGAACATGTTTGTAACAGACTTAAGAGATCCACAGTGGCACTTTTTCTGTTGTCCTGGGTCCCAGTTATTCACAGCTCATCGGCAACTTGATGGGATGTAATCAGTGCCTTAGTGAAAACTGAAAGTATTAAAATCAGTCAAACAGATGCAAGTGATTGTAAAGACCTTGTTCATAAGTACACTGTATTATTAATGCTCTGAATTTAAAGGCTGTTTACTTCATTTAAATCACTATCAGAATGAAGTGTAAAAGCCTCAGCTTAACTGCTTAACTGGCTTCAGGGATGACTTCAAATACAGTATAGAATCTGTATTTATTTTTAGCTGTTGTTTTTCACACTGTCTTGGAGTATTTTCCTCAGATGTACACTTCCAACTGTCCAGACAGCTTTTAAACAGAAGGAGTGTTACTCTATTTATCCATGCATCACAAAGTGGCCCTTATTTGGGTCAGGTTGGAGGCTGACAGTGAAAAAGAACGGACCGCCAGCGTGGAAGAAAGGATTTCCAGATGCTAGCCAGTTCTGTAACTAAATATTCCGAAGCAGTTTTAATAGAATGCATATTGCACACATGGTTATTTGTATTTCTCTGACTGAGACTGAGTGGTAAGCTACTGCTCTGTGCTCCCTGAAAGCGATTTCAAAATTCCTCTGGATTACTCTGTGTAGAAGACTCAGGAAGACTCAGGCAGTACAGAGTACAGTATGTTGGAACAGGTGAGCTCTTCAGTGCATGGTGGGTTCTGCACGCAGGGGGCACCCAGAGTTTCCGGGGCTGGATTGCCCTGGTGGAGCTCTGCAGGGACTGTGTGAGGTTGGAGGCAGTCTTAATAGCATACTGCGCACCAGTGACCCTTGTAAGGCACATTAGAGCATTAAGTGAGTTTTTGCTCTCCAGGTCTGCAGTGTAGAAAAAAACAGTTTGAATGGCAATGCATTACATTTGTTGTCTTTATCTTTGCTGGGTTTGTGCAAGAATGTCAGTGGTACAGTAGATCACATTCAGTAAAATAAACATTCTAAAGTGCTGTGGGGTGTAGTGAGAGTTGTTATTGCTTTTCCCATGCTAAGGAAGGGTTCTTTTTTTTTCTGAGGGCCAAATACAGTATAACCAGCTGACATGTGACATTGATATATGAGGTGGTCACATCTGTCTTTTGACACTTCTGGGACCGAGGTGTCAGCTGAGATATCAAGGTATTACTCTGGCCTAGGGTTGATCTCAGTGTCTTCGTACTTTTTCACCTTGAAGCTGACTTGCCAAGATGGATTAATCAATGTATGATGCCTAATGTGTACAATAAACATGATGAATTTCTGGATTTGCATATAACATCTAATCTAATTTAGAAAGAAGACCATTCAGCACTGAAGGAAGGAATGTTTAAGGGCATTTTTGAAACATGAGAAAGAAGGTAGACAAATTATTTAGATATTAAGTATTTCATTTTTTACTCACCTGCCTTTGGTAAAGAGATATTTCTCTGTGACTTCCCCTCTTACATGAGGAATAAAGGCACTCGCACAACACCGTGTTTACAATGACCTGCATTTTGAGAAAATGTGGATTTCTGTTCCCTAGCTTCCTCTCATAAGAAAATATTTCCATTTCCCAGGGAATGGGAAGAAAGTGGAGCAGAGCTTGGTGAGCAGAGCTTCCTTCCTACACAAGACCTCAGTAATGATGCAGTCGTGAATGACCTTTGGCCTCTATTGTAGAAATGAAGCATGGAGAGAAAGATAATATTTCATGACCGTTTTTCAGTGGAGGATGGCGTTAACCACTGCTTTTCTCCATTTTCTCAATTTTGACTTTTGCGAGTTATAGAATGTTCTGCTTAATAATATAGAAACAGGAGGGTGACAGAAATTGTCTATTAAACACACCTACAGGCAACAGACTTGAGTTGAGTCTTGCATTCTTCAGATCCTTAATGGCATGTATGAACATCACTAAGCTTGCATCTAGGATTTCCGATGTACCTGTGTACTCTGGAGCACTGAGGCTACTCATCTGGGACGTGTGAAGGTAAAGTAAACCCTCTGTTCAGATGTGAAGTACAATTACAAGATTTAATATCAGCGCCTAGAAATGATGAAGGGGAATACCTTTTTTGGAATTATGGTCATTTCCATCGTCACTTTCTTTGGGTTGATCAGATCATCCGGCTGTCAGTCTCTTGGTACATGGAAGAGGTCCTTTTCTCACTGCTTAGCTTGGACATTGACACTAGAGGAGACCAGAAGAATTGTTTCTAAAATAGGGTCAAAGCAAACATGAAGAAATGCCTCATCAGTATCAAGTTCTGGAAAGTCATGGCTATTAACCAGATAGAGGAAAAATATCAGTGAATATCATGTAGAGACCCAAAGGAGTTGGAACAAACACACAAAATGAGTGACAAAGGGAAATCGCTGTGACCTAGTTGTTGAGTACATGACCTGATATTTCCTGAGACACCTGCTCCACCTGCCAGAGAGAGTGCAGGTTTCACATTGGTCTCATCAGTGACCTTCAGGTTTGTGGAAGAGGGCTTCCACCCTCCAGCCTGCTCTGTACCACTTTCCAAAGAGACAGCAGGATACTAGGAGCACCTGCATACAATAAGAAGTCAGGAGGTGGTCCGGGTTATACAAGTCCTTTGGAATGCAGCATCATGTCACTTATGAACCACCGGTCAGTGTTTCCTGGCAAAGTTCTCCCTGCGTTCTTCCCATTCCTGAATCCCCCCTGTAGCCCAACTGATCCTTTTTTCCCTGCTCTCCTGGATTTTCCCTGTCACTTGCCTGCTCCGGTTGAGGGCCCTGTCTGCTCTCATCCTATCGTTCCTGCTGAGTGTGTCCGTGCGGCCGGGTCTCTGTGGGTTTGCTGCAGTGGCTTCCCGCTGTCGGCACGCACACTTCTGTTTCCCTGGCCCTCGTGTCACACAGGATTTTCCCTGCAATGGGTGTGGCACTTCTGTTCCCTTGGTATGCGTGCTGGCAGTGAGATCTGCTGTTGCATCACACTCGCAGTCCTGGTGTGGTGCTGTTGTTGGCCAGGGGCCTGGTGGCTCAGCCCTACACCCTGGATTACAGAGATTACAGCTCCTTGCCCGGGTGGTTCTTCACTCCCACACTTCAGCACTTCTGTACTCCAGCCCTGTTACCTATCAACCTGCTCACCACCTGGACACAGGCCTGTGGACTCAGACTCTGCCTCAGCCTGTCAGCCCTTCTTGCCAGTTTTTCTTCTGACCTGCCCATGAGCACTGATTCTGGTCTTATAGTTCAGCCTGGTGCCAGCCGCGCCCTCTGCAGTTTGCCCTGACAGCGCAGTCTTAGCTTAGCTCACCCTGCTAATGTGCACCGAGTGCTGCCTGGTTTTTGGCACGCACTCCGTAGACATGTCCTCAGCGGTCTGCCCTGACAGCTAAGCTCAGCCTGGTCTATGGAGCAGACTGCTCAGCCCAGTCCTGTCCTCAAGTCTCCTCCCTGCATTCCTTCCGGTGACACAGAGGCCATACTGGAGGAGAAGTGGAGCTCGCCACCGGACTGTGACAGTCTTGCTCTTGGCTCCTTAGTGCCTCCTTGCCTGCCCTCACCGTTCAGATGGGCAGTGCGGAGTAACACATTTTTACTGGAATTTCAACCCCCAGTCCTCTGGTATGCGGTCCAGAGTCCTAACCATCACTTCCCATTTGCCAAAGGCTTACCATCATGCCACAGTTCCACCATGTCCTTTTTCACCCAATAATGGCTCAAGTTGATAAACAGTCCGTTTGAATTCTGTGAATTGATGCGTGCTAAGGCTAAGCCTCCTTGCAGAGTCTTTTGCTGTGTCATCTGGCCGAGTTCTGGTGTTTTACATCTTCCCCCCACATTGAAATGAACTCGTTGGATTTGTCCAGTTTTCTCCCGACAATTATGTACCCTTGCTTTGTGTCCGCCCTCTGTGTGAGCAGCTGCATCAGGCCATGCTTGATTTACAAGGATAATAAGCCACCAAAATGTTGACTTGCATGTACTGTACATTAAGACAAAACTGCTTATTTCACTCTGGCACTATCTAATTGTCAGCATAGTTTTTTTTTGTAATGACTTATTTCTTTCAAAAGGCCAAGTTTTCAAGTAATTAGAAAGCAAAGGTCTTCAAGCTCTCATTGAGACATTTTCCTGTGTTTTTTCAACACGTGTTAGAAGCCTGAAGGACTGATAAATGCTGCTGGTTATCCATTGTCAGCCTGTGTGTGGTGGGCACAGTCCTGAGTGCAGGGAAGTGGGCGGCTGGGTTTGGGAGAGCATGTGGGTGTGTGGTGCGTGTGCTCGCCGCAGCTCAGCCTGTGTAACTTTAAGAGGCGGGGTTAGCCTGTGTTGGTATTTCCCAGCCAAAGGGCTGGAATGAAATCCAGGGACTGAGTGAGTAAGTGAATGTTCACAGACAGTGTGAGGGAAGGGAGAAGAATTTCTACTTTTAAAACTGACCGAAGAGAGAAAGAGTGGTAGTGTGAGAGGGAAAAAAAACACCTTAAGTGAAAGCCAGCATGGCTCTGTATAATCCTGCCAGCCTGCCACCCAATGCTGAAGAGAAGGACTTTATCGAGGCTTATGAAAACGTCAGGGAGAAATATAAAGGTAAACGCCTGCAAAGCATTAAAGTTCTTTGGCTTGAGAGGAAATTGCTGATCATGACAGGGAATGGTGTGTATGAAGCAACACATGCAAGCTTGACTCTCATGTGCTAACTACTTTTAATGATTTATACATGGATCTGTGCACATGCTCAGCGATTGTGCAATAGCAGATTGTGACAGTATTACCAGCACGATGACAGGGAGGAACACTGTAGATGTGTTTAACTTCGGAACTTACTACTTTTATCTATATAGTCTAAATGTCATTATTTACAGTGGGAAACAGTGGAAGTTATAGTTGCAGTTTATGGTTTATGGAGCTGTATAAGTCAAAGTAACGCAGTTTTTTCATTTAGTGGCATTTTTTCATTCATTGCCCTAATTTAAAGACATCTCATTGTACTGCAGTTACATGCTTTTACTCCCACTCTAATGTTGCATTATTTTTATAACAGTTTTTACTTTTATGCATGCTATTAGAAAAATGTACATACTGTGTGGGTACCCAGACCATAGATGTACCTCTGTGGTACGTCAGGTTATAGCCTTTAATATCTGTCAAAAGTATGCTGCTCCAAAAGCCTACCAATAGATCGGGCATCACTGTTCCAAAAACAAGCTGTTCTTGCTTTAAAAGTTTCCAGTAAAATTTGGATTCATTCATATTTAGAAGAGTGAGCATACAAAACATGTCAAAGATGTTAGAAGCCTCAAGTGGAGACTCCCACACTGCTCTGATACTGAACAATTGCCTGTGGAGTTAAAGTACAAATCCAGGACTGTTTGGTGTAAGGTGTGTGCTAAGCTTCTCCTTACTTGTTATTTGTTTCCACTGAACCTCTAACCACAGATTGTACAAAAGTCAAGAAGCAAGTAGGACTTCTAAAAATAACGGCCCAGTTTGTTTTCTCTCTCTGGGAGAAGCGGCCTATTCCACTGATCTGATTTATTGCCAGTGTTGTTGGTATAAAGTAAAATCAGCTGAAGTTTGTATTAGATGTTAGTTTCTTGCTTTATTCGGCGCGTCATGCTTTTAACCAGGGCTTTAGTCCTTATAAAGTCACAGCAAGAGTCAGTGGTGTAGTGAAGAAGCAGTTTTTTTCTCTGCTTCTGTGTTTGACAATTCTATTTCAGGAGCCTGGCACAATGGTGCAAAACACAGGGTTCGTGTCTGAGCCATGTGCTTCCTTATAGAGCAGGTAGAGAGCTGGGCTTGTTCCTAGTGATCTCATTGGTCTGAGCAGAGGTCACTTGGTCACAGCATTGCCCTTTTCCTGGATTGTCACAGAAACAGTCTGACAAGTGAATATCATGTTTATAGCTCTGTAACACCACTCACGAATGTCACCTTGTCACATTCAGGATCACTCCTCTTTAATGATCCTTTGCTTTATTTTAGTAGCCCATGGTTCATAGATCCTGAAGCTTCTTCTTCAGATTATTCCTTTTCCCTCATGTGGAATTGCATTCCCACTACAGATCAGGCGAAGAGTTGAAGTATTATCACTTCCTTATAAAAATATCTAAGAATTCTGTTAAGATCAAGCTCTGATTTCGTTCGATCACTTTGTACTGTATTAGCTTATTTTTTCATTTTTGTTTTTATGTGAAATTCTTGTGAGCTTTGATAAAAGCATGGATTTCATCTACTTAGTACTAACAGTGCTAAGATACTGTATCAACATTGTTATAGTGATTTCCAGATGCTGTTTTAGAACCACCTTCAAAAGAAATAATAAGTCTTACAATGCAATAAAGAGAAAAGCTGTAAAGAGTGGGTCTATTCCCGTGTGCTAATCATTGTGAGGAGTTGTACAGTTGTCACTGAATGTATAACCTGAGATAACATCAGGCTCACATTCTAGAAGGTGTGGCACAGCTCTCTCTGAGATCCTTCTTCCATGACTTTGACAGCGTCCTGTTCTTTGGCAGTTTCCTGTCTTTGGCTTTATCACAGAACAGGTGTGGAGCTTTTTTTAAAGGTCTCACCATTTCAGTTGCAGGCAGCACTCTTTTTTCTCTTTTTGTCTGTGGTTTTTAAACTTGTGCTGCCTTTCCTTAGAACTGAATGTGCTTTTCTTGCACTTTGAAGCTGCTTGTCTTTTCCTTTTCTTCTGCGAAGTGAAAAGTTTGACTTTGCAGGCAGTGTGGACATTAGTAACTGGTGATGGCTGGTGCCCAGCAGCCTTTTAGGCACCTACACTTGTTCTCATAGTAATAACCCACACGGCTCTTTCATACACAAAGTAAAAATATCTGCAACGAATATAGCTGTGCCTTACTCAGCCAGCCATTTAGAGTGTGCAGTCTGCTGTGGATAGGTTTCAATGTATAAGAGATATTTAAGAAAATGCCAGGTTACTTTTTGCTGAAAACAGACCCCATGGAAAACTGAATTGTGTGTTTATTAACAGTTATTTAACCGTTTAGATAATGTCTTTCATCAAACATATGCAAAAGCAGTTGGAGGGTAAACTAGATAAATTCTCTGAGATGAATGGAAAGCTTGTCACCATCAAGACTACTCAGACAAAGTCATTACTGTCTGCTGATATTTAACCAAATTCTATGTGTAAATGGCCTGTATACATGTCTGAGGATTATGGTGAAAAGACAGAACTGCAGAGAGACATTAGAAACTTTCAAGGAAAACCCTCAGACATCCATTTAGTGCAGTTTACTTATACAGTACATCACAGTTCGATTCAGGCTGATGAAAACAATGCTGAGCTTCTTGAAGAAAATAGAGTGATGTTTTGATGTCACATAATAAAATGAGAAACCACTTATATTTAACTTACTCCTACTGTGAAATCTCTTAAAAGGTTTTTGGGTCTTGGGTCTTTTTTAGGTTTTTAGGTATTAACTCTGTATATATGAAAATTTAGCACACTTAATAATGCTTGGTGTGTTTGTTGCCTGTGGATGGTTTGGACAATTGGTTTGGAAAGTGAAACCCACATTAGGGAATTTAAAAAAAAAATCACAAATGGAAAAAAATGCCAACCACAGAGCTGTCTTGCTTTTTGTTTTTTCCATTTGTCCTGTGCATCCTGAGCTTTGTCCAGTGTTGTGCACAGAATGTAACACACAGGGCTCCCAGTACTGTTTAAAACATATAATAACCTACTGTATAGCCACAGTATATAAGCAACATGTCTAAAAATATCATCGCTACCATGTGCTTTTCTGTCTTGAGGATGCTGGGAAGGACCTCTGTCTTGAGGGGAATGTGGGTTGCCCAGTAACAAACTCACATGTTCTGTGCAGAGTTGGGAAATTCCTACAGTCACAGTTCACCTTGTAAAGGAGGGTGTGTGGCTGGAAGCTGGGGTGACAGCTATTGCAATGCAGAGGTCTGTCCTTGCATTGGGTTTATTTTATCCACGGTACTTTTACTGATGCCTTTATATCTTTGACCACACTGTGTTTTTATAGCCTGCTTTGAACACAAAGCATCTCACGAGTCTTACTTCCCTAACAGCATGTCCCCAGCAGCAACACTCTCTAACATCATCTCAGGGGACAATTTGTTCTTTAATAGCAATGGAGACTGGACAACAGAAGTGGGCTATGTGAAAGGTCACTGTATTGGATCTGCTTCTGCCATGAACCACTGCACTGTGGGTAGTTCCTCAGGCTTCAGGAAAGCACACCCATGCTTCCATCTACTCCTGGCATCTGATTTCATGCAACATGACCTGTCACTTTAAAATAGTGTCATTTCAAGACACGCAGGCTTCTGAAGATGTCACTGTGCACAGCAGCTCAGCTGTTCATCATGGGAAACGAAAATACGCTAGAAGCAAACGTCAACATGAGGGTGCTGGTGTTAGTAGAAAGGACGAGAGCCTTAGAATTCAAGATTGCCGTTGTCAGTAAAACGTGTCTGGAATATTGGTGTCAGTGTCTAAAGCTTCTGCACTATAATGTGGCTTTTCCGTGCACATTGTGGTCACACTGCTGTGTACTGTATCTCATTCTCACTTGATGGCGGAAAGCAAAACAGGAATCGTAGCTGGTGAAGGCTACATAGATTTGTTATCGATTCTCTTTCAGCTGAATATGATTGCAGATACATTTCAGTCATGATGGTTTTTTCATATTCTTCCATTCTGTCCTAAGAGCCTATTGCAGGGCACAGAAGCACATGGGCAGTTTAGCGACATCAGTTTACTTAGTCAGCATGTCTTTGTAAAAGTGGGATGAACAAGCGAATACTTAAGTGAGCACAGGGAGAACATGCAGACTCCACACAGGTTGGTGTGGGTTCCAGAATCGAACCTAGGACCCCAGAGCTGTGAGGCAATGGCACTGCTGCCCTGCTGTACCACCCCTATTTTTAATCAGTGTCGTTGTTTAAATGCGAGTCTGTGTCCTGTGTTAATGTAAACAGGCTTGGGTTTGGAGTCTTTTTTGAGAGGAGCAGAAACTGGGCAAGTTTGTGTTACCCCTGTGAGCAGTGCTTCACTTCTAGGGATGTCTTCAACATCTCAACTCTGCTAAATCAATACGTCATGTCTAAGCATGATACTCTTGGCAAAGAGTGGCAAAAGGCTTGGTGCTTTTCCTTACATACAGTAGTGTTTATATATTGCAGCACTTTATAATACATTCATTAATTATGTATTTCATTTTAAAAAGTAAAGATTTTAAATGTTAACACCTATTAGACTAGCCATTATTATAATAAATAGTATCACACACCCAAATCATCATTACACAGCAGTTTGAACCTTGCAGATGAACAATGGTAATGTATTTTGGAAAAGTACACTCATATAGCCATATTGTAATTATGACATTAAATGAAATATATATTATGTACAGTACAAAGTTTTTGCTGACACAGATAAATATCAACATGTTGCTTATATGCAAGAATGAATAAAGCAGTGACTTGCTGTGTGATTTCTGTATATTTTGTCAGCTTCATTATATATATTGCACACTGCTCCATCCATATATGTGCATCACATACTAAACTATGAAGGGCAGTAT